AGATAGATAGATAGATAGATAGATAGATAGATAGATAGATAGATAGATAGATAGATAGATAGATACCTTTTCCTGGGAGTTTAATGCTGTACAGGAGACATCTCCCCTTATTTTGTTTTATAATTTTATTTTATTTATTATAATTTTATTATTATTGTTTTATTTTATTATTTTATTTTAATTTTATTTTAATTTTATTCCTACAACACTCTCATGAAGTCAGCTGAACTGAGAGGGTGCATCTGGTCAGCTGTCTTGGTCACAACCCTGTTAATAACTATTCCTCAGTGAGAGAGGCTAAGAATGTGACCCTGGTGGTTTATTTGGTTCTGGCTGAAAGGATATTTTCAGAAGCCAGCCTTTGTGGCTTGTGCCCCGTGGCTGATAGCATAATGTTATATGTAACCCAGACTGTGCTTAACAGAAGCTACAATGGAGTACGACTTGTGACTTTAGCCCCGGATGTATTGATCTTCATAGTGACTGATTAACTCCATTTATAAATTAATGTTCTCCCGCTGCAGTTAAGACAATTAGCCATTTATAACTTACAACACAAATCCTGTCTCTGCCTCCTAACCTGCTGAGATCTGATCTCGAGGCCCTTCTGTGAATGCACCTATTGTGGGCAATTTCTCTATATTAGAAAATCTCCTAATGCAATTCTCTTTTAGCCAAGCCATTAGCTTAACAATTTCCAGACACATTTCAAGTGTTTGAAGTACCCTGTAAAGCTTATCTTGAGACCAGGACACCAAGTATTTATCTTGAAATCCTTCTTGGAGTGAGTCCAAACTGGGCTGACTTAACTTTTTTGAACTAAGACACAAATCGCATGCAGGTTAAAACAGGGTAAACTAGTGTCAAAAAATGGCTGAGTTAAATCAGTATGACATCTTATTCTCACAATCCAATCTCCAACACATTTCTTCATAAGGATTGTGTAGTAAATGGCTTAATAGATAGATCAAAGCTACACTATAGTCAGGCAAAATGAGCCTTCCCATTTCAGAGAGATGAAATGGTCTCTGTTTTATTTCCTGTAATATTTCCTGTGATCTAATATTTACATAATGATATTGCATCTTTGTCGGGTTTCTATGAGCCAGGAACCTGAGATAACACCAACTTCTTTCCCCAGTTGTAGAATATCCTTGTGTAAAACATCTTCTTTTTTAATATATGCATTCCTGAAGTAGTTTTTTTAAAAGGTCAAGTCTTATTCCCTAATATTTTCTTTCGGCTATTTCTTATTTCAAGGGAATATAGGCTTTCTTATTCCAGTTCTACACAGAAGTAAAACTAATGCTAAATAAATATTTTATTTGTACATTTGTTAGATTTGTACGGCCACCTAATTGACATGTATAGATATTAGTTATTTAAAGTGAGAGACGTGGTTTATAGGGATTGGTGGGAGGAACTAAAATTGGTGGGGGGAATCAGGCAGGAGATTGGGGGGGATGTGATTAATTCTCTAGCCTTTCTGTTCATAATTCAAGTCTTTGCATGTTTTAATGCAAATAGGGAATTCCTTTCTTAATGGAGATTAATTCAGTCTTGGTTCTTGTTGTTTTTAATATGCCTTGTTGAGTCTTTTTGATGTTCATTGAGACATGATATATGGAAGTATATCTCGAGAACAAACAGAGAAGGACAGGACTAGTTATACCAAATTAATTATGGATTATTACTTCTTTATGGAAGCAGTCATTGGAAACAGAAGATAGTCAGAAACACAGTAGCTTCCTTCTGCTGTTTACAGGGAACTAATGCAAGTTACCCCTTAAGAAGGACCTCTGGACTACATATAAGCTTAGGTTAAGAAGAGAATAGTACTGACATACTTGGTATTCATGAGAAGATGGAAAGTTGCCTGTTAACCTTTGCACTGGATCAACAGCTATTTTTGTCCCACCATCATTAATACTGGGAGAGGTTGGTTTTTAGAGCTATGGCTTCCATCCAACTGTGCAGAGGTGCCCCCCCCCTTAATTTAACAATTTAAAACGACCAACAGAAGCAGCCTTTGGGAGAAAAAGAAACAGGAGCATTATGGAAATGAGGAGGGTGAGGAGATTAACCAGAATTCTCCATTGAAACAGGAATATTCCAGTATAATTTTGGCCCTGGAAATTTAAGGCATAGTTGGCCGAACAGTTGTACCTTCCAAGGAATGTTCAATTGCTAGTGAAAATACGTCATTTTCAATAGGGACAGCCAAACTGCTGCCTTGAAAATGAATTGGGGCAACTCGGGCAGCAAGTTGAACATTGCAGTTCTGTCTCTTTAGGGAATTGTGTTGGGTTCCCAATATAGAAACATCTACTGTCCTGATATACTTTCCTGTATTTTATTTATTTATTTATTTATTTATTTATTTTTATTATATATAATAAAAAATATATAATATTTTTATATTATATATATATAAATTTATACACACACACACACACATACATACAATACATATCTATATATATGTATATGTATATAGATATCCAGAATCTCCTTAGAATTATGTTTTTACAGTCCATCTGTTTCCTGATTCCCAAGTAGCCGTTCACATCTGTGCAAAGGCAGACTTTTCATAGAGTAAACTGAAAGAAAACGGGAATGGAGGCCATTCCCCCCTCCCCGCCCCCTTAGTGAGAAGCAGGTTTCCCTTATTTTTATATCTAACTTCCATTCCAAACCGCTGGATTGCTGAAGCTCCGTATCATCCATATCTGGACAAATTCTGGGGTTACCATAACCCAATTATATCCACCGAAACTCACAGCACTCTGCCTGTGAATATGTTCAAAATATGAAGTCAGAGCAAGACATTTAACCTCTTTGTGTCAAGTCCAATATTGATAGAGTGCTTGGAGTTCAAGACAGTCCCATTAATCCTAGCGTTTGAAGGTTAAATTTGGAGGTCAGGCTTTGAGAAATATCAGTGCCGCTGGGATATCCAGATAGACCCTGTTTCATAAGACGCAAATGCATTCCCGGCTCTGACTTTTATCTTCCCGTAGCTTTAGCAAGCTTTTAACAGTGACCAAGATGGCAAAGGGGGGAAGGTGCCTGAGCGAAAGGAATTCAGGTTCAAGAACTCAGAGGCGCAGCACAATTGCTGGTTTGTTTGCTTGGAACCCTGCCAGCAACAGCATGGAATTTATTCCTGAGCACAAAGCGGTTCTCAGCTGTGGCCACGTTGCAGACGCCTAAGATGAGAAACGGGTTTGTGCAAAGGCCCCGCATGAACAACGCGAATTATGTCATTGCAGTTAGGATTTGGCTATACTGTTCACATTTAATAATTAAGCTTGGGTTTCTACCTGTCGGTTAAAACTGTGATAACTTTATAACTTTTCTGCAGACGTTGTTTAAGTTTGCTTGGCTCTGTGCTCTCCGCGGAGAGTTTTTTCTCCTATCGAGTCGTTCTTCCCAATGGAAAACAAAATGTCACACACACCCCTTGCACCACCCTGTCCCCCCAATTCCATTACTGGCACCCTACTTTCTTAAGTTAGGCTTAGTTTTATCAGCATGACCAACGCCTTGGGGTTTGTTTGGTTTTGTTTTTTTAGTTTTGTTCTTCCCACGCACAAAAATGTTTCTGTTTTCACAGGCTAGAAATTTAAAATAATACTGGAGCTACGCATGTTACTGTCATGCAGACAGCCCGATCTACCCTATGGTGGAGCAGGATGTTTGGCTGTTAGTCCTGAGGCTGGGAAGCAGCGGGCAACAGTGATGCCCAGCACTGCGGGCCCCAAGTGGTTTGGGGTGCTCCCCCTAAGTTGGTCCAGTATCCTCAGATGTCCCAGAGGGGATGTCTCATTGCCAGCATGGAAGTAAAGTTGAACCCAGCCAACTTCTGCACTGGAAATGAGTGAGAAGTACTGTCTGTTCTCTTCCCTTTTTTTGAACAGGGCTTTTGATAAACCCCTCTCTGTCTCCCCCATGGCCCAGATCCTTCCAACTTTTCCAAAATGCCTTCTCTAATTTGCCCCGTCTTGTTTCAGGACCAGCTCTCCTTTTCC